TTACAAATGATACAATTTCCACTATAGCAAGTTACTCAGACGGGTTGATAATTTATAAGATATGAATGTAGATGGTTTTAGTCAATATCACAGTTGGCGCGTTTCATGAAAGTTGCGTTGCGACGTGCAATTGATGGTCGATAATAGATTCATTGAAGTTGGGGTACTCTAAAAATTGCAACCTTATATCATTTTTGAATATCTGAGGCTTTAAGGATGGCGCAGGACGAGGTCACCCGTTCCGTATCTCAAGGGGGAAGACTTTATGATCAGTCTTCAGCTTTGTATGATCGGCCTTAATAGATCAGCATCCACAAGATTAGTGAGTTATCTGTCTGCTTACAATAGGAAAAAAACATGACACTTAGGAAGAATAATGTGTATTCAACCAGAAGAGAGATTCGGGAACTGAAAATAAGGGTTACGAGCATAAGGCCATGAATAATAAACAATGAATAATAGGAAAGGGTGAACCATATGTATGTTGTATTCATATTAATAATAGCCGGACTCGTTATATTTTTGCTCCGTCTAGATATTAGGCGGTCCATAATAAAGTTCTTTGTTGGTGGGCGGATTTCAAGGAAAGATCGAAGCTCTTTAGAGTCTAGAAACAGGGTTATTAGCCTTTTGAATCTGGTAAATGTGTCACAGTTACGAATAGGCATTGGCAACCTGTTCGACAATAAACTATACAGCATTGTAAAAAACTTACAACGCGTTTGTTTTTGGTGTTTGACGGTAAGTAGTGTACATGCGTTGCTCCTTAGTCTAAAGGTTGGGTCGTGGATCATAGTTGGACAAGAGGTTAGAAATGAGAGTCCATATATCGCTTTGTAGAGAAATATTAAATTACTCTTTAGCCTACGGTGCCATAAAAGTTCTAAAGAGAGGTGTTTACATCTATCTATGTAATCGACATTCTGGTTACTTCCTAGCAGTTTGCGTGTGAAGCGTTTATGAACGTCTTCTACTCTTATCTTGTCTGTGGTATTGATATTATAGAACGTAATAGAGCAGTATTCCAGGGAAGGACATACACATATTTTGTAGAGAGAGTAGCGTGGTGTCGAATCGCCCTTGATTATGAACACCGCCACAAGACTATGTGCCAGTAACCAATAAGATTCCCGTAGACCAATATCAGAATACAGATGATGGCTGTAGTCGAGATGTATTTGCTGGCGATCTCGTGGTATCGAAAGAATACCGAGATCGTACCAAAAGAGTACCAGTGGGATCGGCAAGAGAAAGTGAAAGCGTAGAGTCAAAAACCGCGCAGAAGTAATGGAGTCCAATGGAAGGCCAATATGGCTGTCATTAGAACAGTTAAACAAACGAGTACAGTAAAACAATCACTGGTACAATTGGTTATAATAATGATTGTTTTCATCGAACCAATCGCGTTCTGTTGACAAAAGTAGGTCGCTACAAGAGTAAGCTTAGCCACTGTTGTGAAGAAATTTCTCATTATGAAACCAATTTGCCGTCCACATTTAGAAATAATAGGTGAGGCATGTTCTTCAAAGTTCAGAATTCCTGTGTAATTAATCCCTAGATTGTGTACAAATTTGAGTGGTGGTTTTATTTGAGTGAAGTTGCAGTTTATAGGGATGTTTTTCAAAGTGCATGATCCCGCACTTGTTGAGGTTAAATAGTAATTGCCAATTTTTACTCCAGATAGTTAAGTTATTGAGGTCATTTTGGATCAGGGGTACACTTTCGTTTAGATTCTCAGGCTTATAACTGTATACTATCTTGAGATCATCAGCATATAAGTAGGATTTCCCAAATGTTGTGGTGTTACATATATCGTTTATATACATAAGAAAAAGGAGTGGGCCTAATACGCTTCCCTGGATGACTCCACTAGTTGTTGGTCTAGGTGATGAGAAACAGTCATTGTACTTTACCATCTGTTTACGTTCGGTTAAGAACGAAGCAAACCATGAGTAAAGTGGGTTGTTTATTCTGAAGGACTTCAGTTTGACGAGAAGCCTTTTATGTGGGACCTTATCAAAACCTTTCTTAAAGTCTAAGAATAGGATTGATACAAGGAGTCCGTTGTCTCTTTTCAGAGTTATATCATTCAGGTAGTCTACTAGGCATGTATCGCATGATCTGGACCTAAGAAATCCATGCTGGGAGGTCGAGATGAGATTACTAGTAAGTAGATGTTGGACTACAGCCACCTTAATTACTTTTTTCATCACTCTAGATACCACTGAAGTTATGTTTATGGGCCGGTAATTGTCAACATTTGCTTCAGGTCCTGTTTTAATTTTGGGAATGATGTGTGTAGTTTTCCAGGCAGTAGAGTAACACGCTGTAGAGAGTGATATTGCAAATAGTTTGAGAAGCGAAACATACATATCATCACCTCCACGTTTTAGCATGCTAGCTGGAATACCATCTGGTCCATCAGTGTATGAGTGTTTCAATGTACTGATTGCCTTAGAGATATTTTGTACATTAAAGTTTACATTAGTAATTTCATAAGGAGGTACTGTGATTGGTTCTGAATCGTTTAGTGGTTTTTCGTTAGTTGGTGAGCAACAAAAGTGTTCACTAAATAGTTCCGCAACAAGTTTAGGGTCTTCGTATGCTTCTTTGTCTTTAATGAATATGCTCCCTCTCGATTTGGAACGTTTATTTTGAAGGAGTATGGTGAGCGCAGAGGAGTTATTATTAAGTTCAACTGCACGTTTTTCCTGTGCGACTGCTTGCACGCGTTTCATTTTTTATTTTATGATGCGTTGCGGTCTGTTTGTTTGGTATATAAACCTAGTATGTCTGAAATAAGTGATTTGCATAGTGGAGGCTGTTATTAGCATTCTGGACTCAGCTGGAGGGGCTAGGCGAGCAACGGACCAATAGGATGCTAGGCTGATCAGACCGATCGAAAGTCGTTGGTTTAGTACAGTATAAGAGCGAATGAGTCACATTTTGATTGGTGACTAGATTACGTGATAACTAGCGGGCCATTAAGTCACAACAGCTACATCTGTCATAGCATTCGGAAGATAGCAGGAGCCTCCAGCGTCATGGTCTATCATGTCAAAGCCTTCCATCGTAAACCTAAGTACTATATCACCTATAAAAACGGAAAGAAATTTAACATCAGAAGTGGTCGTCCTTGAGCAAAATATTTGGAAGGAGTCTCCACTAATATTGATTTTCCCACGGAACACTCCAGCGACATGGGCCTTACAACTGCGATACTCGATCCAATAATCAACAATTACGAGGAAATTTCTCTGCAATCTGACAACCGGCCCAAAACGACGTGTCCTGGTAGGATGGAAGGGGTTCAGGAACACTTAAATGATTGCTGAGCATAAAGTACTGCACAACAGCTTGTTTTATATCGTTTTCTTGTGTTGTTGTGTCAAAAAGCAAACTGAAAACAAACACTTTATTTCTAATTTGTTCATATATTTGTGTATGTAGTAAGCAAAAATTATTTTAATGTTAACAATACGTATTTATACCAGTTTGTCATTTTTTATTCTTACGTTTTGTGCCCGTGCACACGTATAAGTTTACTTTGACATGCACTTTAATCCAGAGAAATTCCCGACTGAATAACACAGGGTGTGTTGTTGAAGCTAACTTATACTTTTGATATAATTTGTTTTCCTTCATAAGTTAGTACCGTTTAAGTTTGGCGCTGAATTTGAGTTTCGATACAATTGAATGTGATTCACTCAAATACGCTTCGTAAGCTATACAGAAGAACGTAGTGCGGTCTTATTAACTAAACTTCTGTTCGTTAGTACTCTTTTCAGATAAAACACTGAGATTTTGGTGGTTAAATTCAATACCGATGTGTCAGCTTAGGCCAGATCAAAGAACTGTAAAGCAAATATACTAAACGAACCCACAAAACAACTTGTTAATTTTAAGTCGTCTGACTGGAATACTGTCAGTGATAGGGTCCCACATGGTACAGTCATGAGAGAAATAATATTCCTCTTGTATCCAACTGACTATCTTAGTCTCCTATAATCGATTCTGTTACATTCTGAGGATATCATGACATGGGGTACTGCGTAAAACGAAGATGATAGATTGGTGCCTTAAAGCGATTAGCAAAATTTATCTGAATGTCCAAGAATTCGGTGGTCACTGATGAGTTGTCACGGATAGCATCATGATCCATAATAGTTGCCAAGATACAGATATATGCAAGTTAAATAAGGATGAGCTCCCTGTGGTACAGGCACATATTGACCCAGAGGTCTTAGTCATCTAATACCTGAAAACCACTGCGCACTCCCTTGAAAAAGCTGTCATCGTTTTGGAATTCGGATATAATATTCGATCATCCTTAAGTCTAGTGTTTCGTGCAAACAATCAGCTTTTGTCCAGAAAAGACAGATTCGTCGGAAGCGATTTTGTTAGTGGCAACTAAGTTGATTTCCGGAGTCTCAAAACTACGGGGTGATTAGAGATTGGACAAACGAAGCCTATCTATTTGTCATACAGAACATCTTAATTTGATTTGACCACAGTTTCTAGACTGCTTAGTAATAAGTTTAAATCTGGCATGACTTCATTTTTCCCGTATTCCGAAACAAGAAATCAATAAAAGTACTGTGAAATAGTTCGCAGGTCTATAATAGACAACTTGTCAGTGAATGCCGACTATTCCACTAAATCATAAAGTAAATGTTTTTAATTCATGTTAAAAATCCATCTACCGACAGGTCCTAAAAAATTTGTAAGAACTTTGAGACTCCTGTCCAAAAGCCTTACGAAACACAACGAACATTTTTTCGTTCCCAAATTAAAATTGAAATCAAGCTCGGAAACAATGAGACCCATCATTATTCTCTAACGGAAACCACGTACGATTTGGTGTTTTGTGCAATTCATGGTGCCATAAAACGTAAGAAAACAAAAACGCAAAAGATAATCCACGTAGGCATTATGCTAGTTTGGTTTCCGTTATTGGATAAAGCATTATAGAACAGATTTGTGCTTTATTGGATATTGACCTGAACGGCAGTCGAAAGCCGCTTGATTTGCAGGGTTTGCTACAATGCCCGAACTAGTCCTCATAACTCAGGTTGTACAGATTTGGAAAAAATTTTCAAAGGAATTTCAGTTTACTGTTATCAAGTCATGGCCTAACAATTTTTGAGGGCTAAGTGTTCTGTGAGTGTATCTATATTGTATCTTCAAAGTGTCCTTGACCAGTAGATAGTAACTCGGCTAACGTAGACTGATCGGTTGCAGGAGTACAGGTTGATTACAACTAATTAACATATGCAGTAAAAATAGTAATATTACTTGCTGATCCGGAAACGGTTGAATATGGAAAGCAAATTTTAAAATAGTTTTACTGATACATTTGTATATAGCCGTGCAACAAATGTTTGCTGTACATACAGACTATAAATCACATTACCAAAAACCATTAGTAAGTTGTGTGTAATGTATTCAAACAACAGAAGAAGGCGCTGCGCGGACTTAGTTACTTGTGATTTTGACAGATAATTCCCATTTAAACATTAAAATTAAAACACGAAGTTCAGCGAAGGGATCTCTTTTCAACGAATTTATTATCAAGCTGTACAATCGTATATATATATATATATATAATTTTGTAAAAGTACTAATTCCGTGAGGAAATGTGAACAGAGTTAACCATGACATAATAAAAACGGGTTATAATACTAGATTACGTAATACGAATAATAACAATAGATTTAGTGAATATAATAAGATGATTAAAATGTTTTTGTTGTGATACTTAAATGTCTTATCGCTATCTTTACCTTGGCCTTAATTATTTTGATTATTCTATTATTATTATTATTATTATTATTATTATTATTATAATTATTATTATTTATGTTGCATTCCCCCTTTACTTATGTCTTATATTCTCATTGTTTTTATTCGTAAATATCATCATATTACCTTATTTATTTATTTTTCACACCTCTATGACCTTTAAGTATTATAACAAAAACATTTTAATCATCTTATTATATTCACTAAATCTATTGTTATTATTCGTATTACGTAATCTAGTATTATAACCCGTTTTTATTATGTCATGGTTAACTGTGTTCACATTTCCTCACGGAATTAGTACTTTTACAAAATTTTATATATATACGATTGTACAGCTTGATAATAAATTCGTTGAAAAGAGATCCCTTCGCTGAACTTGTGATTTTGTCTATTGCTTTCACATTTGTATCCTAAACTGACTCTCCTAGTAATATAACTGATATGTTGTTATCATCTATTAGCCTTGTTTCTTACCGTAATAGCGTAAATTTGACATAACTGCTTGTCAGGTAATGCAGTGGACTTATTAAACATGATTCAAATTGTTCTGGACGAAATAGAACCTTTCGATTAACGGGCTTCTGTATATATTAGCAGTGGATCACCGATACCTTCAGGTAGGAACCTATGTATACTAACGATAAAAGGGGAAAATGAAGAAAGTTGGTAAATCGGTTTACCAACTTTTTTCAATGATCATTGTAAGATACTGTCCTTAGTCGTTAAGACTATGTTAGGTTTTCTCTTAAACCACTCATGTGAAGTCGCTTGAACCAGCTCATCTGGCAGCGAATTCCAGCATTTGACTACTTTTAGGGAGTAGAAGGCGTGTATACGATCCGTTCTTCTGTTTTGTGTTTCCAGTTTCCGCGCGTTACCCCTAGGACTTGTGTTGGGACTAAGTTTAAGTAGGTGTTTGAGGGGATGTCCATAAGTGTTAAGGATATTGTAGACCATCAGAAAATCATCTCTAAGACGCCTGTATCGCAATGGGTAAATGTTTAGTGATTAGAGGCACTCTTCATAAGGCTTTAATGTGAGTCCCCGAACTGGTTTCGTGGCTCGCAGTTGGATACGTTCCAGTGTGTCCTTATCCTTTTGAAATGTGGGAGGAAATACTATATCCTCGTACTCTAAACGGGGACGAGTAAAACTGTTGGAGATTGTGTGGAAAGTTCTGTCGAACTGGCTGAAAATGCGCTTCAAAGTTACCAGTGGAAGGTTTGCTCGTAAGTCATTTTTGTCACAACTGGCGTAACACTTCAAACCGTAGGGTACCAACACTCTTAGATCTCTTCGGAGACAAGCCTGTTGTTATCTGCTCAACTTTAAAGTCGAGTCAAATCCTCCTAAAGTGCCAGTTTGTCCTCTTAGTTACGTACTTCTCTCCAGAGTTTGACATCAGCGAATAGTAATAAATCTGACGATACCTGCTTTAGAAGATCGTTTACATAAATAAAAAAGAGGTCCTAGTACTGAACCCTGGAGGAACCCACTAGGACATTCCATAGCCTGGGAGTAAGTGAAGTTAACCCTAATCTTAAAATGTCGATATTTTAGATGTGAACTGAGCCAATAAATTCAAGATGATTTGATAACTAGTCGTTTGAGATCATTGATAACACATATGTGGTCAACCCTATCAAAAGCTTATGAGAAGTCATGGTATATGATGTCAACTTTCCCTTTGTGATCAAGGATGGTTGTCCATCTGTCTACCACAGTCAACAGGTTGGCTATACAAGAATGACCTTTTCCGAAACCGTGCTGTTGGGTGTGAAAAGAAGTTTATGAATAATGAGTAGTCGTGTATGCCGTCGCATATCAGGGACTCCGTAATTTTTGAGGCTATAGAAAGAAGTGCTATTGGTCGGTAGCTTGAAGGTTCACTGCGTCGTCCTTCAAAAATTGGCGTGATGTAAGCCGACTTACAAATTTCCGGTGATGTGCCTCGACTTAGCGAATGTGAGAACATCACGCCAAGTGGTGTTGTCAAGATTGAAGCTGCTTCTCTCAGTGTAGCATAATATAAACTTTTGTATTCTCTAATTGGTATAAGCATTCTTACATTCAATTATGAGCCATTGTTTCGGACTCCACGAAGTTTGGACATCTAATTAGTGTTATTAGTCAATAGCCTTTTATACAGATATGTTTCCTGAGTCACGTCCCGCATACTTTCCATTTAGGATTTACTGCTTAATCCATACCGCGTTTCAGAGAATCGAACTTTTTCCATAACAGCTATTGTTTTTTGTACCTTTTTCCAAATACTCAAGTTTCATATTTAGTATGCAGATCAAGTGTAGCTTTGGAATATTAACTTTTTTTCATTCTTTTTAAATCCTTTAATTTGCAAAAGTGAAGTACGTCTTATGATATGGAAAAGCGCGAACTTTTGCGTGAGGCTACTAGACGTCCTTTAGATGATGCAGCTAAAGAGAGGAGACAGAGAAAAACTCTTAGCTTGTTGGAACAAGATAATCACATTGAAGAACCCCACTCAGATCTGAAGGGAACGAAAAGACCACAATTTGGAGATGAGGTTTGGATAGTTCTTTAGCATCAGTTTACCACTTTTCGTTTTAGGATGAAGATATTTCAGCCAACAATAAACGCCGAAAAAAGAAACGCATATCGAATATTCGTGCACGCTGTAGGAAAACGTTTGAGATTTTATTGGATGAAGAATATCAAGCAACGAAAGGAGGAACTACTGGTGCCTGCTATTTTACGGCTGCCGCTCCTCCGAGCAGGCTACCCAGGAGGAAGTTTTGTAATGTCTGTGGTTTTCAAGGTTTATATAACTGTATAGTTTGTGGTCTACCATATTGCAGTAGGAAGTGTTATGAAATACATTCAGATACGCGGTGTATGAAATGGGTTGCTTAAATAACCCTTGTAATATTATGATCACGTGTAAATATATTTCAATCCTTAAACATTTTGTGTTGTATTTACTAGTTAATAGTGCATATTATCCGAGATTAGGCCTAATTTTTGGGTAGAATAAGTCCTTCACATGTCTATAAATAAAATTAGTGAGAGAGTAGCGAAAATGATCGGTCTTTAAGATTATTCTACTAAGAAATGTATTTACAACTACCTGATCGTAGCTACTCCCTTCACTAGGTGGTCGGAATCGTGTGCTGTGGTGACTCAACAGAGCTGTGTTGGGTGAAACATGTCATCTTGAGATGCTATTCAATATCACATGCTAAATTCATCAACCAGAAACCCGATAATAGTTTTTTATATTTCGCGTCAACTATCCCGTCCATAGGTATCATTACTAAGGTTTGACTTTATAATTTCAAATAAAATGAGCATCGGGTAGATTGTTAAAAATAAAAATAATATCTTTATAATATCCCAATGAGTAGAAAATTGGATTTTTCTAACGTTTCGTGACTCACTTTTAGCTACTTCTTCAGGGAACAAAAACAAAGTGGCTTATACTAAGTCACGAAACGTCAGAAAAATCTAATTTTCTGCTCATTGAGATATTACAAATATATTATTTTTATTTATATTTCTTTCATAGCCTAGCGTTGTAGACTTGACCAAGCATACTTTATGACATTCACAGTTAACTTTTAGCTTATGTAAGCTACAATCCTTTGGTCCGTCTATCTGCAAGCTTTTCTCTGTACTTTGCCTTGAATCCGAAAAGAAGTCACTAACTAGGCTTTTATCATTACTTATTTCAAGCAAAAGTGGGTTTACACACAGACGTATTGGACCACATTACACTATAAAATAAATTAAGAATAATAAGCTATACAATAACGGTTCGTGAGTTAACAGAAAAAAATTAAGTGGAACATAGAAGCAGTAATCCAGTTATATAGTAATTGCTCAATAGAAGTGTATACAATATTGACTCAAAATAGTTACGGAAGTTACTATATTTCCAGTCTTTGCTCTGATACATCAAAACCATTGTTCCTTTAGGTACTACCATATCAGACAGGTTTGTTAGGAATTGATAATACTAAAAGCAACAACCTTAAGTCCAAGAGCGTAGTCGTATTGCCGATGGTGCTAGTGTAAAACAACAGCGGGATGTTTCCCCAGACAGCCATTATCTGCATTAACACTACCTTCTTAGAATAAAGCGAAGGGGCTAGAGGAGATCGGTTCTAAAGATGACACACCTCATCCCATGAATTTCCATTGCTGTGGGTAAACCCGTCAAAGTACGGATTTAATACATCAAAGACTGAAAAGTAATTTGTGGCCCACCCCAGGCAGTTGTCATTTGAACTCTGAAGCCGTGCTCCCAGACTGCTAACTTGCCTATGTCTACTAACCATCGTGGAGAAGCATAGGTCCCCCACCAGAATTCTTCGACCATTTTTGTTCTGGGCCGTCCAGTTTAGAATTGCTATTCATTCTTTCGGTGTACCTCCCATTTTCAACACTATGTGTCCCTTGGTATTCCTCCTTTTCTTTCCCCTTCATGATTCCAAGTTGGGACTTGCTTCGTGATGCAGTCTAATGGTTTCCGCAGTGTATGTCCTATTCACTTTCAACGTCTTTCCTTAATTTATCTTCCAGATGGAAGTTGGTTTGTTCTCTGTCACAGTAGGTTGTTGGGTACTCTGCGTAGACAATTGTTTATAAATACGTGTACTGTTTTGATGATGGTTGCAGTTTTTCTCTAAGTCTCAGTTCCGTACCAGATTACTAAGACCGCTGCTAATCCAGTTTCTTTTTCAGGTACCTCAGGAAGAAGTATCTTTCTGTCATATGGTCGACCGAGAGATAATAACCCCCCGCACACCATTAACACCACTTGAGATCACCTTGTGTGCTGATATTTTCGACTTGACTTTCAATTAACTAAGCTTATTTACTTCATTTTGCTCAGATCGACAGAATTCGATCTTCACTAGGTTCTAGAAGAGCATGATTTTGGTTACTACTCAGCGACCATTCATTGTAACAATCTAAATCCTGTGGGTCAGTCGCGGCTCAAATGGCTTATTAATAACGCCTTTGACAATGGCACTGGGTGACTCATGTTCGAATTTCGTCTTGAGGATCAATTTCCTCCAAATTTCAAGTGTGATATGCTGGCAAGTTCCAACTAGTTAGAAACTTGTGTCCAGGTTTCCTGGCAATTACCGTCAACAACTGAATTCAGACATACCGGTGTTCCATAGTTTCTACTTTTCATGAAAGTCGGATGACATTTGTCTCAATTGATGCCATACCGTTTCTCAAGTTTAATTTGATTCACATTCGTATGAGGACTTATAGAGAATCATCGTGTGATATGATACTGACGGTCCCCATTGTTACTACTCATGTTCAAATTAGTCACGGATATAATAGTGTAAGTGATTATAATTACTTTCGGTCTTCTTATATCGATTTCTATTGCTCATGGTTTATCATTAAAGTTTTAAGCTGATCAGTTCTGTTGGTGAGCATGACTTTAGAAAGTTTTGCGTTATCATCCGTATTACTTAAATCGTAGTAGGTAGCATGCAATTCGAACATGATTTTCATTTAATCATCCATCAAGCTATCAAAACTAATAGACATGCATCCATGAATAAATAACACGAATTAGTCATTACTGTTTCCGTTATCCATTTTTATTCATCGGATACTTCTATGTATTTTGACAATAATACTGTATCAGATAATTAAGTTCAAGCATCTGATGGTGTTGACTTTCCATCAGAAGCTATTCTAATTGTTTGCAAATATTGAAGTGTTTACATCCATATCTCCTACAAGTAGTAATGTCATATGCAGAATATTTGTATGAAATTACAGTCTTCAACTTTGGTATTGATCTATTACAATGGTAAATACTGAGTTGCTTAAAATTTATGTGGTGAATCGTAGAAGGTATCAAGTGAGTATATCGTCAGTTAACCCTACAGCAACTAGCTATATTGCTACTTTCAGTACATAAAAACTATCGTGCAATTGATTGCTTCCATAAATTTAAGCAAAAAGTGAATTCAGTCGTATTATGAGAATATTTTTATTCTCCTTGCTTAAGCACTCATAAAAGGTGTAGTGCAGCACATCAATGGGTAACTGGAAAACTAAATGAGCTATTCAAAATTAGATTAAATAGGATTTAACAGTAACACTGTGATGTATATTTATTTCTTTTGGTTAATAATTTATCGACTTCTACCTTTAAATTTCATGTTATATTTGAATCTTTTCTGTCAAACGGTTTGTTAGTAGTGTCTGGATTGCTACATATTACAAAAAACTTGTCTGAAATGTTCACGTAAAGGATTAGATAATCGCAAACTTTACAAAGACAACTTTCTCAAAAATGCAATAAAGGAAATAGTTTAGTTGCTTCATATGGCATCCTTATCTACAGTTTATTCTAAAGGCAAATGGTTTTCATGTACTTTTATTGTCAGAGATTGGTTAAATACTGTTTTGTCGCTAAAAACACATTTGATAATTTCCCTAGCAATATCAAGTGCCTTCACCAATGTGACAAGTGTTTCATAAGCTCATGGAGATTTTATCAAAGAATTAATCTTACATAGTGAATGACTCAAATTGTAACTTTAAGACTATCTGTTGTCTTACAGTTTGACTATTAATTTCCAGACAACGTGTTTTACAGATCATTTTTGAAAGCAGACACATTTTTTCTCCTTTTATGTTATATAATTCACAATGAAGTTTTTATATAAAGCAAATTAAGAAGTGTTATGTATGTAACTGTCCTCTGAGTGCTGACTTGCACTTAGTACTTAAAACCCTGGTTCTAACGAAGCTTAGTGAAAACACAAACAGTACTGACATGGGTTTATTTGACGACGCAAATAAATCGCAATATTATGTGAATACACCACTTTCATATTATTTATTTGATTAAAGATTAACAGTTGGATTTGTGTGATTTAATTTGACTGGCTGACTCCTAAAAATGTAATTACATGTCTCAGACGATTAGGAAAAATCAATTTCATGCGTCATTCAAAATTCGATCAATTAAGTAACTGCTCTCCATATTCAGAGACCCTTTGAAAAAACCCGACTAACAGGCTATATTTTAGGAACTACTAAATTTTCAGTTGGAGCTTTTAGAAGTGACATTTTTATAATTTTGGTGTTTTCAGATAAAATTGTGATCACTTGACGAATTGTTCTACTTGGAGCTATCTGTTGACCGTGTTTAAAACGGGTTAAAATCTCTTCTCTAACAGATCTAATATCCCTATAGTGTCTTAGTATTGATAAGATGGATTATAAAGATACACCCAAATACTCATCCTTATCAATAATTCACTTTTCTAAATCACAGTAGACTCAGTATCCAAATATTTCATCTAATGTTTGTCTTCACGTAGTATATCATACACACGCTTGATAACTAGATATTAGATATACATTGTTTTACTGAAAATCGTAAATTATCTAACAAATTTTCTGTCATAATTAGTACATTGAGACAATAAATAAAGGTCATTATTTTTCTTTAGTGAATCTTTGGACCTAAAATTATGACATTCGATGAGGATAGACATAACGGATAAATATGTATATATTTCCGAAGCCAGTTGCCAAAATGTTACTTTAGTAATCAACAATAATTTGTTTTTACGTTTAAGTATCCATTACTTTTTTCTGATTTTCCTTGTTTTGTTTTCCTATAGTATCGCCGAAATATATGTATGTAGTATGGTAAGCAAGACTATAACTTACGGATTATCTTTGAGTGACGCTAAAGTGACCCTGAGAAAATTTACCTAACCAATGCAATTAATTGAGGATTATAATTCAATATAAAGAATTAGGATTTACGGTTGAACGTTAGGGTTTCCATCACGAACTATTCTATTTAGCCATATGGATAAGTGGATTTCGAGCCAAAATCCAAGACTTACTATCTTAACTAATTGATTCGTCCAGAAATTGTGATTTCACAGTATGATGTTGATACAGTAATCGTTATTATCGACCTCCTAATGTCTATTTTATTCTTATTCGCTTACATTGTGTCATTTACTTCGTATCTTCATTTACCATGCTAATGACTAAACCCTGATTGTGTTTGGAAGCCAAGCTATATAAACATGCTACATTACTAAACTAAAAATATGTTGAATAATCTCTTTCCTAATTATGTATATCTTTGGTGTATGCTTTATAAACTAGAATAGCACCATTTTAACCTTTAAGCTTCCCGATAAACAGATTCATCCTTTATAACGAAATCTATACCGATTAGGACTGGTTGTTTGACAAGTAATACGATTATATTTTATTACACACCTACGCACACATAACCATGTCATTTGTCGCGGAAAATAAGAAGATATATTAGCATTTATAAATTTTTGAATCAATATTTTTCACTGACATTTCAAAAAGTTATGTTTGGGAACCAAAAACTTTAAGTTTCTTTCTTTACAATGTAGTGAAGCTGGCACATCAATGAATAATGTTGTATAATTTAAAGATTCAATATTCTCCATTATTGAATTAGATGTTATTTATACTGAGTTCCAATGTAAATTGACGATATAGAAAAGAGAATGAATTGGCGTTGTTGATCGTTCTGTATTTTGGACAGATTTTTCAAAACAAAGATATACTTCATTAAAGATAACCACACACAAACACAATACTGTATTATGTGTTACGATGCATACTTTATTTATTCAATGATTCAATATTAGCTATTATCCGGGCCAAATGTTGGCACTTATCCCCCATCCCACCCACCTTATTTCTTTTTACTTATTTTATGAGACCTGGATACATAAAGCTGAATACAACAAAACGAAAAAATTCTTCATTCTAGTCCGAATTTCGTGTACATATTTTTGTAGGAAGGGTGTATGTGCTACACTTAATATTGCTGTATGAAAGGCAGGTCGAAATTATCGAATGAGAAACACTAAGAAGAAACCATTAAAAAACAACATAAAAAAGTGAATCGTAATTTTTGTAGGCTGATGTAAAAGCATAAGTTCTAATATTTGTTAACTGACAAATATATATATATATATATATATATATATATATATATATAATAGAAAGGTAGATATACATATGTATATATGCACACTTTTCCAGCAACATAAGTACATACATGAACTGCATAATATGTATACATATCCATATGAATTGAATGAATATGAATAGAGAGGTGGGCTATTTTTACATTCATAGGTGTACATTGTTTTTGAATACAGATTATATTTATCTCTAGGGCTTAGGCAATAATCACCAGTATATCATCACACTTCATGTTTTATCAAAGACAATAATAAAATCAAAAACAACATACTGGGCGCTCTTTAATTAGAGCCCCATAAAAAGACCAAATATAAAATATCGTTATTGCTGAATAATATGTATCTGTATCGTTGGACTAAGAACAATCAATTTCAAGTATATTTAACTAGTTTTTTGTGGATTTTTCTACTATCTAACACTCCTGTCAATAGCTTTTTAGAGAGATTACAAACAGCACCTCAGGGTAAGTATAACTGTCTTCGTCAATGTTCAATTTTGTTTGCTGGGGTGCGTTTATAAATTTACCCATTCTCATTGTTTCTTTCATATTAGTATTAACAGTTTATCTAGCATTCTTATTAAGTATGATGATTCTTTTTTACATTATATTCTCAGCTAGACAAGAACGTATTTACAAATAAATCATGTAATTATGATCTGATTTGAGTTTTATGATCAATTTATTCGTTCTATCTAAAGCTATAAATAAATATAGTTTAAATGACTTAGTGGTGTCAAATTTTGTATTTCTTTGCATGATATCAATAAAACTCATTCAAAGTGTTTACATATGGTTATAATTATTATTGCTCTAGGAATCAAATTGATGTTACAAACTCAGCATTTTTAAATAGAATCAAATTATATGTGTACATAGAGCTCCCATTGCACAATTTTATAAGCCATCAAAATTAATAAGTACTTAATTTACTACAAGTCCTAGTCTTTAAGGTTAAAAACGTGTTTTGTCTTCGAAAAAAACTGGAAATATTAAATGCGTTTTGATACTCTACAAATTTACAGGATAAAAACCAAAGTAGAAAACCGCGTTTAAGATAAACTGAAGTACATGTTTTATTATGAATGTTTAAAGTAACAATCACGAATTGTCTTCTTTTGAATAATTCCATAGTTATGTAAAAACAAGAAAGAAATATAAATGGTGAGTTAACCTGAAGGCGCGTCAAAATAATCTCAAAATTGTTTTTAGTGTTGGAAAGCTATAATGCTTGCTATTCGATAACCTTTATTTCAGAGTTGTTAGCTACTTTTCTTATGACATGAGGGAGGTTCTAGGTGCATGACTTGAACTAGATGAGTTTTGTTCAGATAACTTCAAAATGAAGAGAGTAAAAGATGTTCTGGTTTTTTATTAGATGTAAACTAGGAGAAAATCTAGTAGCAGTGATAATAATCCACAAATAAAGGGTAAATCAAACATCGAATGGTTGAACTTTCTGTGATCCTTTTGAAAGGTGCTAAGATTTTGACAATTTAAGTTGGTGTTTGTAAGATTAATAGATGTTCAAACAAGCATTATCTAATGAATTTATTTGCCTAAATGATAATACACAAAATACGTCATTAAAACTTATCAGTATGAAAATAAGGAATAAACCTTTAAAACATATCATCAACAATTCAAGTTAAAGATAACGTGAACTAAATGCAAATTGTTATATAAGTTTAGAGACTTTGTAACGAAGTCGTTAGTAGTCGAGATTTATCCAGATTCATTTTAGTAGTAACAAATATTTTATCGACTAATTATCACTTACGAATCTGTGTTTACAGTGAAGTAACGTACTATTTGACTTGCATAATACATTTTACCCTTTTTGTTTATAATAGGAAGTCATGAATGCAAACTATGTGTAGATCTGCGCTAGGCAGATGAGAAAATTTGACATTAGTTACCAGATTGTACCACTATTCCCTTTAAGACCACCGTAAATTTATGATAAATGAATATAACAGTTCATAAGATTTCACACATAATTCCTCTAGTCATTTGAAAACTGTAAGAACAAAGATCTGAATAAAACATCATGAATTCATTTTGATTTATGTACTTTCTCAACAACAGAATGAAAGCTTTAACATGTAAACTTTAACCCATAAAAGTAAAAAGTTACCAGTTAATACAAGCAAGTATCTACTGATTTATCCCAATGGTTGATTCATACCTATCTTCTTATTCTATATTATACCATAAAATGTTACTGTATTTTCATTTTGTTTAGATTTACATAATTTTTAATATTTTATTCGAATAATCACCAAGATTAACTGGAGATTGATTTAGTTTCTTTCCATGAATCTCATCCGCCATTTAAATATGATCAGTCTTCTATAGATAAATCATACGTTCAAACTTAAAACTAATTTTATCTCGATGTAACACTGTTTTTCAGGTAAATATAACCTAAAGTTTTAGAAAATAATAAAATAGCTCGTTAAGAGAAATTTCGTAAATATTCCATAAAACTGTTGTAGTGAATAAGAGCATAGATGGGGACAATCAAATGTATTTGAACACAAAATTACAGAACATCTTAGTAAAATCTGAGAATCATACAGTGAATACTTAATTTACAAAATGTCAATCAATTGTCTCAAACTTGACTGTTCCTTTTACAAATATCAGTCAATCGTCTCAAACTTCAACGTTCCTACATTTCCCGTTCTTTCCTACTCGATCTTATTGAGCTTCTGCTGCCAGACATTCTATTTCTGACTAGCGTTATACACTACCTATGTCGATATAAGTAGCACACACCGCACTGTAACTAGAATGAATTATTTCTCTACAGAAAATCGATACTGAGTAAAAATAACCAATTATTTAAAGTCATCTATATGAAAACATGTTCATTTTTACAATTATAATATCGTATAAATTGAAAATAGTCCTATTATTATTTATGTGATAATCTAATACTTGTCTATTTTAAAGATGAATTGTTTTTTGGAATGAATGATGAAAATTTAGTTGGAAATTACTTTGTGCAGAGATCATCTCTTTGATTATTTACAATTAAGTAAGAACTTCCGTCTAAATTTGATCGAATAGTTTTGCAGTATTTGGGCGCCAAGTTGATGTGAGACATTATAGAAGAAGAATGTGTTTGTAAAATCTTAGCGAAAGAATTTAGAAAAGAGTTCCTAATCAGTTTATTTACAGTTTTATAATTCTAAAAACTTTTATACAATATATGTGTGGAAGATAAATTTATTTTGAACGACTTATATTTCGTAAGAAATCTGAATTAATAACCTGACCAACAAATTATAATGACCCACCATTGTGAAAAACCAATAAACTTTGTACTATTCAAGAACAGGCCTTTTGTAGAAAAAAGAATTTAATTGGCATTAATAAAACTTATACAAACTGCATGGTTGACAGCGTCTGTTGATGATAACTGAATTATCTTAATGGAACAGGTAATCAAAAAAATAATACCTTGTATATAAACTATTTGGGCTGCCGTAGTAGCCTAATAATGTCTAAGACTGTCAAGCTAGGTGAAAAAGGTTTAGATTCCACATTATTTTGAGAAACTTTAACTACTGGCTATATTGCTACTTGATCAAACGAATTCGATCAGTACTAATAATTAGGTAAGCACAACATTGGTCACTACTGAGTGGTCGTCAAATAACTGTTTACACCGGTAATATAATTTAAATTTCAAATGACTATTTTGTTATACACTTATGAAAATAGATAGAACTGATTTTACAGGTAGGTTAAAAAACAATGTTGTGTGTTGTGTTAAACTTTTTCTTAGAAATACACAAATGTTAATCGACTCAAATAAACTAACAACAGTTAACTTATCTAAGTAATCATCAGTAAAAAGCTGAAACAACAAAATACTTCAATCAATTTTACTGTGCAAAGATCTATGAAATACTCACATAAACTTGATTAATTTAAACGATACAGAGAACCTACGTTGCATATTGAAAGAAGACAATTATTAGCGATTACAAGAAAATGTATATTTTCAATGTTAAATTATCATTAGTGCTTACTTGAAGAATGTTTATCTACGTATAAAATCATCTTTAAGTCAAATAGATTGATAACTGTAACTTAATTGAACTACAGGATGATTAGTTGATAATGATTTATCAAAGAAAGGATAATATGTGGCAATATATGGCAATACACATTTATAGGAACTAAATGACCAACTAAAGTAGTTACAACCTTTCTACTCAACTAATTAAAAAGGCGCGCATTTAAGTTTTTTAATGTAACACTATTAAACAGTAGCAACTTTATAAGTATTGCACTAAGATTCTGATATGCAGATTGAAATTCAGTCCCATCTGCTTGTTTTCCAGTGTTCACTTAATGCCATAACTGAAGTATGACTGAAATCTAGATACCTGAACTTTCACCGATTATTAAAGTGTATTAATTAATTAGTGTTGCTGTCTATAAAACACCATAAATAACTAGTAGAAACACAATAATGTTTGTTGTTTCTAAATTAAAAGACTATTTGGCATCATGTGTTAATGGTCGTCATCCCAGTATAACCCTTCTGAAAAAATTGCTGGTAGTATCAAAATCGTTTTCTGTCCTCATAGTTCATACCTGCTATCTAACTATGATTAGCCAATTAGAGGTGAACACATGCTCAATAACATATAAAATAACTGTTTCTATTCTGTTTAATAAACTAATTAATTCAGATCACATACAATCGCTCAGTCTGTTAGTTTGTCACTGTGACTAAAAATTTCCCTTGTTTTCATACCTGATACATTTTACTTTAGGTAGAAAACTCTTTGAAGTATTAACCAATAATTCTGATTCTATATGAAATCAAGGGTAAATAAGGCTGAGGATTCTTAATAAGAATTTCCATTCATTTATTCTGAACTTGGTATAAATCAGCGACAAAATATCTTTTCTTTACTAAATACACTTTAGATTGATTGAATGAGACGAAACGAGATTTTGATCAATTTCAAAAAAGTATGTCTGTTCACAAAATTAATTTTAATAATTATCTAAAATATAACACAGAGTTGTAAATCAGATATCACCACTGATCCTTCATTGGTGGATTCTGTTGTTTAGCACAACATTGAGAACGTTTTTGAAAATCACCTTCATCCTAGCTCCACTCATAGACGTTTTGTATTTCCAACACTTTTATTATGAAGCGTAAAACGCTTAACTACTGTAATCATTTTTGACGATCATGAAGAATGAGGTCGAAAATTATTTAATCCGTTGTATTATGAAAGGGTTTTCCGATGTGATAAATTATCATTTTAGTTATATTATTCAAATAATCAGGTTCAAGAAATGCAGTATTTAGTCATATATTAAGCATTAAGAATTCGATGGTGTATATAAAGTCAGTATTTCTAAACTCAGAAAAATGTATTTTCCTATGAGTAAAAGTATACAACATGCGGATTTCGATCGACGATTTA